GCCAGGGCAGCTTCTCATTCAAACACTCTAAGTCATCCTCCAGAGGCCTGGCTGCACAGGGACACAAGAGTTAACTGTACCACTGTGGGCAGACACTCACTACAACACTAACTCCCCGACACCTGGGAGTCACAGCCATCACAACGTACATCACTCTGGCAAAAGGTGGGTCAGTGCAGAGTGCATGTAACCTCCTCATCACGGGGGCAGCACATAGCAGGTGCTCACTTCACACTAACTGCATTGTTCAGAAGCTGATGGAATGGAGACAGGGGGCTGTCTGTGTGCTTTGCCCCCTGGATATGCTAGGCCAGCTCATCCATAGTAGGTACTTGAGGAGTTTCTTGGCCTCAAGGAGATGAGTGTTTAAGTGGGCCACCACTAAAACAGTATCTGGGCTTAAAAGAAACAATGTCTCCCAAAGCCTTCCGACGAGGCACAGACCAAAGCAAAAAAGCAGACAAGAGAAGCAAACCAAAAGACTTCCCTTCAAACTCAACAGGCTTCCCAGAGCCAATAGCTGCTCACTTATGCTTGTTAACTGAGCTGATGCTTAGTATTTCCTGTTAGAAGAGTACAGCTCAAGCAAGTATACTTGGTACTTCCCAGAAGTTCATGGGATGCAATGAGGGACAATACTTTTATTAAAGAGAATGCAAATGATTGTATTAAAAAAACAACAAAATAAACAAAAGACTTTCCAGTAGCTATGCAGCTAGTAGCTGAGTTTGTGTGATGCTGCCACACAAAAGTTGGGGTTCATGGAATCATGCAACCCTCCCCAGGGTGCACAGCCCTCTCCTACTCTCCTAATCAGGGATCTGCTCACCCCACTTTTCTAGCCTGGCCCCCACATCAGGGTTTCATACACTGGGTGCTGCTGCCACCCGGGCCCCATGTGCCCACAGTCCTCCAGTCTGACTGAGCTTGGTTTGCAGAGCTGCTCCCCCTGTCCGGGACGCTCTGCTCCTGTGCCTGGCTCATGTCCACCTGCAGCCTCGCAGAGAACATCCTCCCTTCCCCGGTTCCAGCACGGACCATATTAGCAAACGCTGCCTTATCTAGGAACAAGTCTGTTTCTCACCAGGCTGTGAGTCCTAGCTGATCTCTTCCATGCCAGGGGCCAGAACACAGCAGATGTTCAGCAAATGTTTATAAAATTCACATGGGGTGAGGATTCCTCAGAAGCACTCCTTGGCTGCATAGCTCTGGCATCTCAAATCCTCTCAAATCACGGGATACCATTTCCAACCCCACACCCTCTGCCACAAGCACCACAAGGTGCTTGAGGTAGATGTGTTCACTACTGTTTGGGCCACAAGGTGGCGATGTTCGGCCTCCAAACAGCTCTGCAGGCTATAGGCTTGATTTTGGAAGCTACAGGGGAGGGGGCATTGTTTCTTCCACACAGACTGCTAGGCCCGTCCTTTAGCAAAGTCTACTCTTTCAGCAAAGCAAGGAGTGGACCAATGCTCATCCCATTCACCTCCTCACCCTTATCACCCAGGCACCTCCCTGCAGCTGTGGCCAAAGAGCACGTTGTAACAAAATGGAATAACAAAACAAAGCCCCAGGCAACAACATTCACTCAGTTCTAAAAGGAAACACCCATGTTTGGGGCACTGCCTGAACGAAATAAGGTGACCAGCTGAACCAATGAAAGGTGTGTGATAAATGCCTGGGTAGGCTATGTCCTCTCCTCCCAATGTCCCCCTGAAACCCTGCAAGAAGAAGGTGCGATGAAACAGCCGCAGAAAGCAGAAGGCCTCGTGGGGATCACAGCTTAGAAGCCCACCGACTTGAAGGAAACCCCACCCCTGTGTGCCCACTTATCCTAAAGTAGATGGGGATAAGTGAGGACTTCCCTCCTCACACTGCCAGGGCTGTTATGCACACAGTGTCAAGGGAATCTTGGACCAAGAGCAAACATTTCACCAAGCAGGGATGCTTCTTTCCCCAGGAGTCAAGCTGCCTTAACCCTACCCACCATTTGCTGCCTCAGAAACATCCCCTTTATAGTATTGTGATATATTGTGAGTTCTGGAAGTCCTCTTCTGTGGGTGTCTTTAGATGCACCCTCATGATTGCTTTGTTGTCCTGAATGGACTCACAATGCTACCTTTCACACTCCTTTCAACTTCGGGAAAGAGCAAGAAGCAGCAAGATGCCATCCGTAGCTGCTGAATAAGGGGGGTGAAGACACCATAAGGATTTTGGAAGCTGCTTTTCATTGGATGGCACTCAGCAGCAGCATTCACTATATTTTGGATCACACCTCATAAAGACACTCATGAAAGAGGTCTTCCAGAACTGTTTCAGAAAGTTGGAAGAAAGATGGGATAAGTGTGCTCAAAGCAATGGAGCATAGGGGCTGGGGATTTAGCTCAGTGGCACAGCACCTGCCTGGCAAGCACAAGGTCGTGAGTTCGGTTCCAGTACCGGAAACTACCCCTCCCCCCAAAAAAAACAAGGGAGCATATTTTCAGCAGTATTAATGTGTCATTTACTGTATTTTTTAAAACTTTAAATATTCACTGTACATTTTGATCACACCAGGTATATTTTAGTCCCCAGTTCCTGCCAAAGAGCTTCTAAGACTCTTGCAGTTTCCAGAGTAATAGGAGCATCTTTTATTATTTATAAGTCCTTTCAAATGTATGGAGTTTATGATAATGAAGTGAATTTTTATAGGCCCTTAGTCAGCTCTGGAGTGGAGGCCAGTTGCCAGAAAGGCTAATCCATCATGAGAAAGTTGGACTTTGCCAGCTGGGTGTCTGTCAGTCACCAGGGCGTAAGTTCAGTGCGTCATGCCTGAGTGTTAGAGCCACCACGCAAATCAGCAGTGTGGACTGGGAGAGCATCCAAGATAGTGGACAGACCCAGCGGGCAGGAGTGGGGAGGGTGTCACCCAAGTCCACACTGGCACCCCATCCAGGCCTTGTCCTGTGTACCTCTTCATCTTCCTGTTTGCTCATCTGTATCCTCTGTAATATCCTTTCTAAAGACAGGTGATGATAAGAAAAGCACTCCCTGGCTTCTATGAGATTTCAACAAAATTGCTGAACTTGAGGAGGAGGACAGAGAATCCTAATCTACAACAGATTATATGCAGAAATATGAGAGGGTCAACCCTCCCAACTGGCACCAGAAGGAGGGACAGTGTTGGGCTGAGCGTTTGGCCTGTGGGATCTAATGCCATTCCCAGATAGATACTGTCAGGATTGAATTAGACCGTAGGAACCCAGACATTTGAGGTCAGAAGCAGATCTTAGTAGTTCCTTTCACCATGTATGCTGCAAAAGGCATGCCATGCTCCTCTCTCATGGCCCACTGTGACCTGGGAGATTTGTCCAGGCAGCCTGGTATGTGGGGGCACACAGGCCTCTCTTATTAGGTGGGCTCCCTGCCCAGAGCCTCACTCGCCCCAGGCCTCCCTTTCTCAGCTTCAGCTCCTGTCCCACAGTCTCCACTTGCATTCCCCCCACCGCACCTCCACACTCCATCTGCTGCCCCGTGCAAAATGCTCCTTGAAGACTGCGTGAAAACACCAGAACCTGCTTTATAAAGAAGGAAATATGAGCCAGAGCCCAGTGGTGATTATAACAAACACCACAGTTATCACTTACTGTACTCTCTGACCTGTGTCAGGCCTCCTGTGAGCTTCCCAGGAGTCACCTCTGTTCCCTGCCCTGAGTTCTGTCTCCTGGTGTGGTCTGAGGTTGGAGAGGGAGGGATTCAGCAGCACAGGGACATTGGCCCAGCTCCCCTACCAGGGCTATGACTCTGGTCCAGTGGCTGAGCCTCTGTGACTCAAGCCCTGACTCTTCCCCTGGAGAGAAGCTGAGGGCTTCTCTCACAGAATTGTTCTCTTGAGTCACGGAGGAAATGCACACAGAACAGTAGCCAGGAACCCACACGTATGTGCTACACTCACTGGCTAAGAGAAAAACATGCAGATAAAGTCAGATGACTGCATCTCCACTTTTCAGGTAGATCCACCAAGGACCATAAAGATTTAGCCACTTGTCCATAGTTGCAGTGACATGGCCTGAATCCTGCCTCCAGCATCCTTTAGCTGTGTCCCACATGCTAAGGAAGCTGACTTCCTGCAGATCATAATGTGCCGCCTGTATATAAGGGTAATGCTTCCTTACTCAGACCCGCCACGGCCTGGAGATTGGAAAGTGTCCTCAAGATTTTAAGTGATGCACCTGTCACATTTACTAATCACATATTCCTCATGCATACAAATGCCATAACCCCGTCCTCATAATGAAACCAACACTTTTTCCCCTTGTAAGTTGAGTTATTCTCCTTCCCCAGTTAAAATTTAAAGAACAGAAGATATTCTTTCTCAGCAACCCAGGATGAACCTGAACAAATTGCCTATTTCCTACGCTCTTTGTTATTTGCTTCTGTCACTGATTTTAGACTCTACCCAGCTGAACAGGAATCATAAGCCCCTGTGAGCTCCCTGCAGATAGCCTTCCTGATGCCTGGGCTCCTTAACAGTTATTTAAGTTGGTTTCTGAGATCTGAGGGAAGCTTTGTCTAGCTTGAAAGGGTTGAAGCCACTGGTCACCTCACTTGGGCCCATGCAAAGGCCAGAGGGTGGCTTTCAGAGGTCAGAGGGCCAGAACATCACCCACAAGTCACACTAATACTGCTGTTTCCTGAACATGCATTTTAGGAAGAAGCTCAACATTGAATTTTGCATGAGTGGATCAGCTACTTGCTTTACTTTCCTTATTCTCTTTAGCTTTCTCCTTGCCCCAGACCCCAGTTTCTTTGTTTGTCTTTGCCCTCAAAGACTCCCACACCTCCTCCTTGGGGAAGGCCATTTGATGCTTGTCCCCATTCCCACACGTGACTGTCATCTTGTGAATCACTCTCTCTTGTTGAACTTGTAGCCTCATTGATGGGTGCAGTGGGCAGAGGAGGGCTGGCTGCGGGCCCAAATCGCTGCCTTTCTTCAGTCCCAAGGTGAGTGCTCTACTTACCTGCAGCTCTGAGCACAGTTGAGAAAGTGTTTCTTCAACAGCAAGAGCCTCTAGGAAGAAGAAAAGAGCACACCATTAAAATTGATATGCACCAAAATGCCACAGTGGTTGATGGAAAGGAAAAACCTAATTTCCACATTAGCACTGAGGTCACAGAGAGACAAACATCTGACTTCTCCCCTCAGAGTGGTGCTAACTCATCAAGAGAACAAACCTGAAGCCACAGGCTGAGCACTAGGTAACTAGCCAAGGTCATCACGTGAGTGCATTTATGAGAGCAAGAAGAGCCTCTCAATTTGTGCAGCATGCTGTGTGGTCCAAATACATCACAGACCTAGTTGTACTCTATCAGGCACACACAGACACACACACACACACACACACACACACACACACACACACACTTGTGCATTGAAGATGGGGCATAGATTTGCATCTGCCCCATATCTTGGATCAGAGAAGAGCAGAGGCCTACTGTCATGTCATTTCCAGGGACAATGGTGTGAACGAACATCATAACCTCCATGCCACCAACAGTGGAGCCTGTGCTGTGCCATCTTACCAGTACTGATTGGTTGTTTCTAGAGATTGTGATTTGGTGGTTGCAGCTGTGACTGTGTTTGAACCCGCCCCTGGTTCCATGATGCTGTAGTGAGTCATTTGCTCAAGGCTGTGGTACGGATTTTAACTGCAGCATTACTGTCAGCTGAATGTGAGCAGTCCCTCCCCACAGTGGCATTGTGCAGAGGACACTGAGCATGCATTTCACCCAACCGCTGACCTGTGGTCTGTGAACCCCATGGGGCATAACAGAATGTCACATGGATCTCAGCTGTATCCTCAGTGTCTAATGCAATGCCTGGCAGAGGATAAGTACTTAGTAAAAATATGATTAAAATACGATGAATGAATGAAGACACTTGGTTCCCAGGGGGAAATAGAAAGTACTGTATCAGGAAGCAAATTGCTATTAGACCATATCCATTTCCCTCCGAGCTAGGGAACTCACTCTGATTTTGTGCATATGTCTATAACATGAGTAATGTTAATAGCTAAAAATAAGCCAATGGTTGCCTCACTCAGAGAGTAGTGTTGCCACCAGATTCCTTCAGGGCTTCACAGGTGATGCAACTAGAAGCCAATAGGCTCCAGAATTTAATGCAAACACTACAACATGTCACCTGCTCCTTTACTTCACATACCAAGGAAAGTGTATGGAGGAGATGAGGTAACTTTGCTCTCAGAAGCCAAACTGGTGGGGAAGCAAATCATGCAAACCCATCATTATTATATATGTTCACTGCAGTAATGGACAGGTTGTGGACACTGCTAAAGCTATGGTCACCTCAGCAGTTGATGTGTAGGTATGTACGTAGGAATCTCATGGTACCTAGCAGCATTCTGACACTGAAGCACTAGCTCTGAATTAAAGCAGGCTCTGGTCCAGAAAACTTTAAACACAGACACAACACATCACCTGCTGAGACTGAAGGTGACATGACAGGGGACCCTGCCTCAGGGGTTCAGTGGAGAATCTCTGAACCCTTGTCATGTTTCTGCCACTTATTTCTGTGTGACTTTGAGCAGTCATTCTACATTGCTGAGCTTCACACTGCTCATTTGTCAATCAAAAGGGATATAGACTAATAATCTCTGTGATATGTAACCTTTAGGAAATCCATATTCATGAAACTATTTGTCCCCAGATAGACAAATATGATGGATAACAAGAACTTTCTATAATCATTCATATTTTATATGTGGATAGGTAGTGTGATAAAAGTATGGTGAATTCTGCTGCTGAGTGCCATCCAGCAGAAAGGCAGGATTATAAAGTCAATGCTGTATTCCTCCTGTTCACTGGATCTGGTACTGTGTAAATTCTGTCTCTTCCCCAAAGCTAAAATGACCATGAATAGTAAATGTTTTGAATGGATTCAGGACATCAAGGAAGCTATGCCAGAGTAACTAACGACACTCATGAAAGAAGACTCACAGAACTGCTTCAGAAAGTCACAAGAATGATGGGATCAGTGTGTTCAAAGCGATGAGGAGATTCTTTTGAAGGGGATCAATGGCAATGTGTCTTTCACTGAAATTATTTTTTAAAAATTAAACATTCACCATATTTCCCAACCACATCTCAGGATGCAAGTGTGTACAAAGTTCTTAACTGTAGATAGCCTTTTATTAGGATTGTTTTAACTCTTGTAAATTGCAATCCTGTGATTATAACCTAAGAAAAATATAACTCTAGTACTTTTTTGTAAAAAGCAATATAATGCATAGTAGTCAGTGAACATTTAGTGGATGAATGGATGTGAGGATGAATGTACCTTGAGCACTTGCATATTTCTTGACTGCATCTGGACTTCCAAAATTTTCTCCTGCTGGTAAGAGGTAGATCACTGCCTGAACAGCAGTGGCCTCACAATGGCATTTGCCAAGCATGACAATATTTCTTGATTCGCACTCTAAAATGGAAATGTCAGTTTCTGGGGTGGGTGCCCCTCTGCCTTTTACCCTTACCCAGGTCCATGTGGGGAAGCTCTGGGATGTCCCTCATGATGACCAGGAAGTAGAGGCGGAGTCCCTGGTAGGCCTGGAGGAGCAGGAGACACAGGTCGCGGTGCCATTTGTGTGCGTGTTGCATGCAATTCTCCGAGGGGACGTAGAAGCTTCCCTGTGGGAATGAGACAGAAATGAAGCTGAGGACCCCGGTGCCTGGCCTAGGCTCCGCAGGGGTGCTGCACTCCATGTGCTTGTGTCAATGTCCAAAAGATATCTGGAAGCCCAGGAAAGCAAGTGTGCTCCTTAGAAAAGCTGGTTAAAGTTGAAGATTCCATAAACAGAGAGGTCTTCTTTATCCCCCCATGTGGAAAAAGAATGAAATCTGCCAGGCCTTTTTAAAAATCAAGCTCAAATTAAAATAATAATGCTAACAAAAGATGAGGGTGAAGACCATGTTGAGAGTTCCCTGACATTGGAGGTTTATGACTGTCACTCCTAGTTACAATCTCCTTTTCCGACTACTGCAGCTACAGGCTAAGAAGAAGTGGAGACACAGGAGGAGGCTCCTTTTCACCGGTGGACAAGCGATTTATAAAGGCTCTGGGAGCAGGTGGGTGAGGGGTAGATAGTGCTGCAAAGGAGAAACCATGCCTTGTACAGTAGTGAGCACTGGGAAGTTGAGTCATGGAAGCTGGAGGAGACCCTCACAGGAGTTCTAGATGCAAGCGTGTACAGCTAGACTGCTCTGTGCAATCTGTTTGTTGGTTGCTACAGAAAGAATTAAGCTGATAGAATTACAACACGATTTGTTCATCTAAGAAAAAACACTTCAGTCTTCAGTGGACACATACCTATAAGAAGAATGAAAATATATCAATTTTAACTTCCTTGCCAATCCTCAGGATATTCCTCAGGATATCCTGAGGAATTTCAGGAGAGATTTATTCTGGGAATAGAGACAGAAAAGCTAAGGAGAGAGGCTTGGACAGTGGAAAATGAGATATAATTCAGAATATGTGGGAAGGTTTGGCGGCATTAGGATCAGCCTATTAATCTTCTGTCCACACAGCCTTGAGGGGAGAGCAAGAGGTCACCACTTCCTGTGTTCTTTCTCTGTCTTGCTGGAAGAAAGCCCAAGGGGAATTGGTGGAATCTCCTCTGGGCAGCCTCCTGACCCCCCTGGTCTCTGCCCTCCTTTGTCCCACCAGAGAGGGCTAAGCAGGTGTAATGGAAGTCAGCAACTACCCGCACTTCATCCAGTGGTGTTGTGTGGGCAGACAATGATGTGCTGTATAATGGCACTCACTCCGGCCACCGCATCTTGAACACTGGGTCAAGTGGGATGCAAGATGCTGCAATCAGGACACCTGGATGGAAGCTCAGGTCTGTGTTCACCCAGCACTGAGACCATCATGGATGACCTCTTCAGGAAAGAGACTCAGAAGGTGAGCTGTACACACAGCACCACTCCCTGTAAGAAGGAAAAGAGGCAGAGGGAGAGGTGGCACTGCTCTGTTATGCAGGCACCATGGAGACCTTGCTGGTGACTGGGGAGGGGATCAGAATTGTAAAGATGTCAGCCGCAGGGCAAAGGCCAGGTCCTGGAGGGAAGTGTGACCTTGGGTGAGCACCACTGTAGACAAAGCAATCCTCACACTCAATTGATTGCTGTTGGCCCCAACATCCCCAGCAACATGAGGAAAGCCTTGGTGACAGGTCTGGGCAATATACCCCAAGGCCACTACAGAGACCTTCTGTAGCAACATTCACTCCCCAAGACCTCATTTTCTCAGCTCTGAAATAGGTCCTTGATTATGAAGTTGCCAGATCCCTTCTGATCGGAACTTGAGAGATTCTTAACAAGGATTGGAGTCAAAGGCCTTGCCCATTTCATAACCAGAAAATTCAACCCACTAGAATGCCTGTGCATACCTGGCATTCAGGGTAATCCATATATTTCTGCCTTTCATTCTTCCTATTATAACAACATCAAACACAGAGAAGCCACTGCAGTTGTAGAAAGACCAGCCGAGCTTTCACGCAGCAGGGAGCATATCCAACTCCCCAGGCCCTGGGAGGAATGAAAGAAACTATTGCTCATGAATCACCTAGATAGTTTCATTATAATGGATCTCATTTGACCTTCAACTAACACCAGAAAGGGCAAGCACTGCAATTTTGTGTTTTAAAATAGAAAGTAACTTTAGAAAGACAAAATCTCAGTATTACCAAGGAGAACAAATGTGAAGTGCTCCGTTCCTCTGAGTCTAATGATTTCTTATAGATCTTCCTAGGGTGCTTCCATACATATATGTGCATATCACAGGTACAGGTATATTAACTTATTGCATGCAGGGATATTCTGAAAACATGCACAGGCATGCCTGCAAGCAATCTCTGGACATTTCCCTGCTCTGGCTTTTATCATGTATCATGCCTTGGAGCTCTTTCTGAGTAGAAGAGTCAGTAAAAGTAACTCCGATTTTTGCTTCCTAGATCAAACTATTATGGCTCCAGCACAGAATGACTTGGATAAGTACACTCTGCTTCCCAGGAGAAATGAGTCTCCAAATCCAGGTGCTGAAGCAGGGTATCCTTGCTCAGTATGCCACGAGTGTCTCTGAAAATTGTGCCTGGCAGAGAACAGATGCTTAACAAAGTTCTGCTTGCTTTGACAGAGGCGTTAATTTAAGTCCTGCAGTGTCTCCATTAGCCATGACTAAGCAGAAGTGAAAGCAGAGGGAATTATAAAGGCATTGAACACAGTAGTCTCAAGTCCCCATTTTGTCTGTCTCATCCAGCCCTGAGAATCCCATTTACTGCCCTGTTTCCTGCTCACAACTCCATATTTTGTCAGCATGTCCTTGTTTAGAAAGTGGCCAAGGACCCAGTGAGGAGGGCAAGGAAGCTGTGAAGTCTGTTATTAAGTTTAAAACTGGACCTGAATATTATATAGATTTTTCAAAAGTGACATGAAGAAGACTCTGGGGAATCTTCATAAGGCTGATTCAATTTGGCTGTTGAAATACAAAGAAGTCTACACACTAACTCAAAGAGAAATCTTGAAAACGATATGGCTGGAGATCATTATTTTTTTAAAAAAAACCTTCACTTTCTATAAATTACTCAACAACAGCATGATTTTTTGAAAGTGAGTAATATGCTGCAGAAAATTCCATTAGACAGCCCTCCAGGCCTGCAGAGCCCCTGACAGAATAGAAAAGGCAATGAACCTCCATTAGAATTGCATGAAGCAGATTGACGGATCTTGCACAATCTTCCTAGCACAAAGCAAGAACATTTTAGCAATCCACTCTTGAGAGCCTGGAACACAAACTCTCCACAGGAGAAAAGGATGCAGGCAGGGCAGGCACACTTTGGGCTGCATGTGAGCTGCACAAAGTGGGGCTTCTGGCCGGGGTCCCATCCACATTCAACCCCTTTCTGGGGCTGAACGAAGTCCAATGTAAATAGAACTACTCTGGTACAACTAGAGTATAATACAGAGTCTGGAGCATGGGCTACAGAGCACACAATTCTAGTTTTGTGGCAAACTCCAGTTTAAGTTCCAGCTTTGCTACTTCTACCAGTGTCACCTTGGATGGAGCTCCCCCTCTCCCTTCACTGCAGGGACATCCTCTGTAAAGAGGGGTAGTCATGATATCAGCATTTCAGAAGGAGTAAGTGAAGCCATTCTGGTGAAACACTGACTGATGCCATGTGCCACTGGAAAGTCAGTACACCCAGGAAGGGACTTGTGCACACAAATGACAATTTCACTGGTGGCCTCTCCGAACAAGTCTATACTTTGTGCAGCTTAAGAATCAGCAATGACCCACTTAAGAGCCCAAGCATATATTTTAACTCAATCCACATCCCTTGGGAGCTCTGTAGGGATGCAATTTAGTTTGAACAGAGAGCTTAGGGTCAAAGAAGTCTGTACCTTGCTCATGGAAGGCCTCCTCTCTATCTGAGGCTGTTAGTCCCTTAACCTAGAAAGTGCTTGTTCCCTAGCTAAAAAGTCAGCATAGTAATAACGTAAGAGTGCTTAGAAGAGTGCCTGGCATATCGTTAAGTATTCATTAAATGCTAATTAAAAAGTTTTCCTTTTCAGTGCATTTATTACTTACCAGGGTATTTGAAAATCAGACATAGCTAAGCTTGCTGTGGACTCTTATCTTTAGGTATATGCCTCTCAGATCTGCATGGCTAAATCTAATTCCTGCTCTGGGCACCAGCTTTTTGGATTCTGCCCTTCTGACTAGAAAGCTGGTCTTGTTCTTTTAAAGCCATCTTTAAGGAGACTCTTGTGTTCTTCCCTGCTTACGTGACCTTTATCTTCCCTCTGATCTTCTTTAATGGACTCCACTTTGCCCATCACCCAAGAAAGCCAGGGAATTCCCCTGGGCTCCAAACTGCATCCTTAACAATGAAGATGATACCTCTGAAACTTTCTCCTTCCTGTCCCAGTTTGACTTGTCTAGACTGCTTACTTGAATTACTAAAAACATCTTTCTAACAGGTCTCAGTCTGGTCGTACCTTCATCTGGAGCTTCCATCTGTGCGATTAGCCTACATCATCACCCACCATTAAGAACACATCCAAATCCTTCAGTTGTATTTGAGGCCTTTGCATTTTAAGCTGACCATACTTCCATACTCAAATGCTGCTTCTGTTCCCGCACAGGGTTCCCGATGTTTTTCTCCTGTGCAGCTCTGTTTCACTGCTGCTTGGAGGCCCTTCCACCAGACCTTTGGATCTAACTCCTAGTTACCACTGAGACTCAGGTCAAATGTCACCTTCTTAGAGAGCTGGTCCAAGTTACTCTGTGATGCCCCTGCATGACTCATGAAACCAGTTCTGTCTGTGTCTCTGTTTCCAGGCTTCCTATGCACTTTCAGGGGTGACATAGTGGCTGTTTGTCTTAGAACTTGACATTTACAACACACAGTGTTACTGAATACAGAGTACAGGGAAAGCTAGCCTCCTCTGTAGAGACCTGCAGCTCACAACCATACAGACCTGGGGAGCATATACCTAGTATTCCTGCCATCAGTTCAGGCCACCTAATTGAACAGTCATGCACATACGACACAAGGCTCAAGCCAGCTGGGAAGTGTTAACATTCAACTCACCCTTACTTTTTCCTGCTTTAGAACCATGGGATTTTA